ATGTGTATAAGAGACAGTATATATATATATATATGTATAAAATAAATGATGCAAAAATAGCTTGTAAAGTCATCAAAAGTTCCGTGCTATGAAGATTGTGCAACCTTGTTACTCTTGCCGATAGGCGCGTGGCCCGTTGTCCCAAATTCGCAGACGGTCTGAGCAAATTCCAAAGAACATCTCATCTAACCCCACCTACACGGTTCTCTGTTCATGGCAAAAACTTATGAAATTCTAGTAACATATCACAGTCCAGTTCCTTACTTTATTAAATAAATAATCTCATAGGCCCTTTGTATTGCAAATTTTGCGATTAATGAACCATCCGCCCTAAAATTATGAATTATTTCAGCATTTTTATGCTGTCTCTTGGATGCTTGTTGCCTTTTGTGATTTTTTTTTGATATAATAATAATAATAATAATAATAAGATTTATTAAGCGCACATCTCCACTAATATATACTAATATATATTCTTTGTCCATGGAGTTTATATGGTAATAACATGTGATTTTATCCCATTGGTCACGATTTTGTCATTACATTACATTACAGTATTTCATTTAAACATGAATATCTCTACCTGTGTTCTAGTCTTCAGCAAGACCATCCCTTGTATACGCATTTTGCTTCTATAGTAGCAGGGTTATTTTTTAAATATTACCTAAATTGAATTCGAAATACTATAAGTTGAGAGGTTGTATTGTATGTGAGAGAATTAATATGTTACTTAATCATTATCAAATGCGTGTATGATAATTTGTATTGCATGTTGAAGAATTAATGAGTCACTTAATATTTACAATCCAATAAGAATACACTACCAAATACGTGTATGTTTGTTAATAATCAATCTTTAGATCTAAGGTCAATACCTTTGAAGTCACAGACTTCCTGGTTGACTACTTTGTTGAAACGCATCATCCTCAGTTTTTTTCCCCATGTGATTGGTTGTATAAGGTTTTTAGCACAGATTACATTATAGTATCGAGCTGTGTTTTTTTACCGTGTATAATTTACTGAATTACATTATACCTTACAATGTTTCCCCTTTTGTTTTGCGTTAATTGCTAACGATGTCACGGATGGTGCCAGGGGGGGGGGATGCCCCCCCCCAACGCGGGGTCAGATTTCCCCGACGAAAGCAAAGTGGGCGTGGTCGAGCTTCGATTAAAAGGTTATGAGACTGGTCTAGGGAGCGAATCCCCCCCCCCAAAAAAAATGTTGACAATTTAGGGGTTTCAAAGGCTTATTTCATCGATTTTAGAGTCTACTAATATGTAGAAAATACATATAAAACCATCGATGTAGATGCCATTATAAAATGAGTTCGTTTATCAAGTACAGTTGATATGACAATTAGACAATTAATTAATTCAAATAATTATATATCAAGCAGGTTTATTTTTTGTGCCGCCTAACACAATTATTCTTTTTATTTTTCCGCTAACATCATATACTATTCAGTTTTTAGTCTAAGTCCACCACAGTTTTATTTAAATATTTGCACACTCTCGTGAAATAAATTAACTTGTAAAATTATTGTCCTTAACTTACTGACACGGATAGAAGTGAATGAGAATTTAATATTGTTAATATCATTATTAACAATATGCGCTATATAAGTCTACCGTTATTATTATTATTATTATTATTATTATTATTATTATTATTATTATATTATACTCACGATTTGTTAAAATGCATTATGTAATGCGTGTTTTCATTATTAACAGGTCCATGTTAACGGCTCCCTGCTATCTTCCTCCTTCAATCGTCATTGATTTTCCGCCTATTATTTGATTGATTAATGTATGGAATAATGTGGTGTTTCTGTAAATTGTTTTTGATATACGTCCTCTTCTTTTATCATGATTATGAAAGGTGTTCCTAGTGGTACTTCCCCATTTAAGCATTGCTATCTAATTTGAAATGCTACATACCTGTAATATTTGCGTTGATATTTGCTATGAAAACAAAACAAGACCTACTTGGAATTCATCAATAGGAAATGTATGTTTAGGCTTACAATGTAAACAGTGAAGCTCTGCAGAATGTAACATTTCTGTTGCAGAAGAAATGATATCAAAATACATAGTTAATGGGTTTTTAAAAATACATAAACCACCTCTGTTAGATGGAATAAAAGACAAGGTCCCTAATAAAAGTTAAATTAGGACCTGCCACTGACGTACATACTCCCTTCAACGTTATCGATGCATTATTGAGATTGCCATTCCATCAACAGCTTTTAACTCAGCATTGTTTTACTTGTACTCCTATCTGTACTCGTCAACACCTGTGCATCATCTGGATGTTGGTAGTGGGGATGTCTCAATTTGACACTCAATACATATTTTCCCTAAACTGAACATCACAAGCTTTCCCATCGAAACTTAGGCTATCACATTCTGAATATCCACATTTACCCTCCTGATAAAGTCCACTGTGTGGACGAAAACTAGAAAATAAATTCTATATTGTTAGTCTCAAAAGTGTTGCTGTCATTTACTATATATTGTGTTCTATTCTGTATCAGACTAACTCGGCTATACTTTTTATCCACATTTACCATGTGAGCCCAACATTATCATAATTTTTACATCAGATTGTATGATCCCGTGCCCATTTTAAAACCACATTTTCTATTTTCTTTTAGAGCAGTCAGTACTTCACACGTATTGTTAAAGCATGGTGACTGTTGCTTTCGTGCATTAGACGTTTTCCAGTCTAAAGTGGTAATGAAGCCGTGTTAGTCTAAACAATATACAAAGAAAATTAAAAGGCATGGACTCTGAGAATAATTTAGATGTTGTATATTTAACACAAGCTTTCGCTGGCAGTCAATGCCAGCTTCATCAGGTGTGTGAAGTAAAAAATTGAAAACAAAATAGAAAAGAGCTTATGTATACATAATTAGCAATAGTCTCACAATTAACTAATTGTTGAAAGCAAATATAAACCGACCAATTTTGGGCGGTTTTTATTTGCTTTCTGTAAATATTTTAAACATACATGGATGGGTGAGATTTTCTTACTAGTATTCTTGAAAATGATCAAATAGATCGAAACGTTGAATCTCTTCGGAGTTACTGTCTTTTTGTTTTAAATTAACAAGGTAGAGTTGTTATTGAATGAGGGATGTTCCCATTATGTGTAATTCCTTCCCTCAGCGGCGAGTGCGAAGCACAACTCAGGGTCAAAAGTGGAACGTGAAATTCCGATATGGTTTCGTAGTCAGATTTTCGAGAAAAACTTCAACTACCCGTATTTCTCGACTGAGTCGTCAGTGGGAGCTGTAATTTGTATGGCAAGGAGATTATGCAACCCTTAATTCGTTTTAAGGGAATTTACGCCCAGAAACCTTGTAGTTATTAATATTTTGGTTATAATAAAAAATATTCATTTTTTGGTGACGTCACACTCAAAATATAGTTAACATGCATACGTCATAAGCTAGATTACGTCACCTTTTCCTGGTAAGGCAAAATTTCCCTGCGTGCTTTTTTCATGGATAAACAAGCACCACTGCTTTGCACATGGACGCCTTGCTTAGCTAGGGCTACAAGAGCCGCATTGTTAGCATTGTATAATACTTAAACAAGGTACCTCTGCAACTGAATTACTCTTGGTTATTTGGTTTTTTTTTCTTATTTTAATTTATTTCTTTCGAAAGTGTACTTTCTATCACATATAATTGCACTGCCTAGGCCTTGTCTTATTGTTATGCCTCATCGTCCCCCTACGCAGTACATCAGTAGCCCCCCCCCCATACAGTACAGACGTTTGCTAGGCAACAGAACGTGATTGCACCTTCCTTCCCAGGTGTAATTACATTGGCATATTGTTAGCTAACCAGTTGTGTGTGTGTTTCTTTGTAAAATGAGTACCGCGGCGTACTCATTTTCACAAAGCATTTGCATCTCCTCTTGGAAAGAGAGATCAACTTCGAAATAATAATAATAATAATAATTAAGTTAATCACCGTTTAGCTTACACTTATGCATTTAGGGAGCACTTAAAATGTACAATAATCATTTCACTACCCGACAAACCCCGAACTTTATTCATGTATTAGGCCTATATAATAGTTTCATCTTGCTGTACGGTGACTCTCAACATCACTGGCGCATGGTAACAACCAACAGACTGCAGACCATTTCCGTCACACATTACTCTCCATATAAAACAGCACCCCCTAGTTCCGTCACCTCTAGATTTCCAGTTGGTATTTGGAGGAAGTGGAGTCTAGTATTTGTTCTCATTATTTGGTGAAACTATTCAAGTGTTTGTAGACATGAGTTCTTGTCCACTGCCAAGATATATAT